TGTATTGTAGACGGACCTTGAGAGTGCGATCGATGCCGCCAATGCTGAAAATATTATGCGGGGTCTACAATAGAAGTCGTAGAGGTCGTAGGGTCTTAAGTCGTAGAAAATTGACCAATCACAGTTGATTATTCTTTTCATATTCGACTGTGATTGGTCAATTTTCTACGACTTAAGACCCTACGACCTCTACGATTTCTATTGTAGACCCCGCATTAGAGTGAGGATATGGATAGGATTTAAGATTCTCATATCATTGACATCTGATTATTAATATTTAAGAATTTATAAGTATAAAGATGCTTATTAGCATTAACAATTATTAATTAATTGTTTGTGAATTTAATAAGTGATATATATGTTACTATTCTGGTTCTGCCTATATAAATAAACAAGAATGGATTAAAATAGAGATGGATTAAATTTGAATTCATTTTAGATTCAATTAGAAATTGGAGTGAAAAACTATTCATTTCCTATTCAGAATTTTGAATTGAGTAGTATTGATCGGCGATGCACTCATAAAGAATTGAAATTTTTTTTATATTGAAAGGCATAAAAATGTATTTCACGCAATTTCTATAAATATATGAAAAAGCATTGGAATTGAAAAGCATTTATTTTAACGTTCGTGAATGCATACTTCTGAAAATCCATTTCAATCCACTTCTTTCACTTCAATCCATTCTCGTTTACTGAATGTAACGTTTCAAAGCTGAAAAATATTTCGACATCCTGTTTGCAGAATCAGACATGTGTGTAAAATTCACACAGAAATATCCCAGACAGCACACAATATTTATAAAATATTTATATTACAAATACTTGTACGATTTATTTTTAATATTTTATAAATATTTTTGTGGTCTTAAATAGCACAGATCATAAACATTTATTATAAATAATATAAAATATTTATTGTAAAATGTTATAGTAAATGCTATGAAAATACTTAATGACATTATAATCCAAGTAAAAAATACTTTTTAGAAATATTTATATTTATCATAAATATTACATAAAATATTTGGTTTATATTTCAGGAGCTTGAAAGTTAATTTTTTTTGCTAACACAGATTTTCGATATATCGACATTACAACATGTCGATCAGTTTTGTGCATTAATCGTGTCGTCATAAACGTATATATGCGGATGCTGCTCGATAATTGCTATGTCTTTTTCAAGTTGCTGCAACTCGCGCTCCATCCTCGCTTTCTTCTGCGCCTTCGGTAACGTATCCGCGAGGAATGGCAACCTCCGGAATCGCTGCATCGCTTCCTCCCACCTTTGCTTCATGCCCTGTTTCCGGATGTAACGTACTCGGTCACTTCCATCCAAATTAAGAGGGAACTGCGAGCATTGCGAAGATACCCAATCAGATACCTACATCCAGCAGCATCTTTCGTTCCTCTTTGTCGATGTATCGGCACGTCGATACTTTCGATGTTTCGTCTCCATTAAATGGTTCGGCCGTCTCTGTTTCTACTCTCGTATGGACTTTCGCGATACATCTCGGTATTTTTCCATAGTTCTGAAAAATATCGATCGTAAAAATGATATAAAATATTAATTTGATAAACACAAATTAACAGTAGCATATCTGCGTTCAGCAAAGAAAACTAATCAGTTAGCGCTTAGTGATTATCAGTGATAAGCTACAATTATTGTTCCATAATTAAGGATTGCCACAATTAACGCTCGCAACTAATTGATTTACGATTTGTATAAATACGTGTAAAGGCGATTTTTTCAAAATAGCTAGAAATCAGTTTAGTAAGCGTTGTTAAAAGTCAAAAATAATTATCCAGAACGGCGAAAAATAACACGAAAAATTGAAAGCGAACAACAGGAGTATCTTAATCCGCACACGTGATACTCATACTTCTTTGTGCACATAAATCGGAAGTAATCCGCTTCTCTTTAATTCATGCGTGTCGCCGTAACGAGTATCGATGGATCGCTGTTTGGGCTCTGCCGGATAGGAACGTTTCGCGCGAAGGATATTTTGTTTGATGAAATTCTTTTCCCGTGTGACGAATAATTTTTCCAACGAATCCGCCATTTTGTTCGCTTCGCGTATCTATGGGCGATTTCGACCAAACAATTCAGCGATTCACTTACTCCAGTATTACTTAATGCAAAATTTTTTACTACTGTAAGAAAAGAATACGATCAACGATACTATAAATGCTTTACAAATGCTTTAAAGTGTTTTATGCTGTTTATTTAATTATAATTGGCTGGCATGCTGAATTTATTACCGCTTTTTACATCAAATTCCTGACAAACATCTTTTGGAGCATCCATTCAAAGATACAAGCTTTATTTTCTGAATTTGATTCATTTTTTATCATGAAAATATATTTATTTACATTCTTATATACACTATACAATTCTCTTTATAATTTAATTTTAATCTATAAAAAAACAAAAATTATTTTATTACAAAAAATTAAGAAATATTTTATTTATATTCATAAAGATACAAATATTATTTGATAATTTACCCTCAACTACATGAGTAGATCATTTGGACCCGGGTGAAAATAGTCGCTAATTTTGTACGGTTAATATTGTAGAGTTGAAGGAGAGATGGGGGGAGGTAAAAAACTTGGAACCTTCCTCTGTCGATCGCTGTGATGCAATTGTTTTATTGTTAGCTGATCAGCTTGACGCTGATTGTGATGTAATAAAAGTTTGACTTGAGTGACTCGTCAGATGTAAATTCGACAATTATTATTTTACCGAAAGTGAAAATTCGTTTTTAGTAAGTACCTGTTTATTAGTGTTGTATTCAAGTATATGTGCTGTTTTCTTATAATTAAAACATATATTCATTGGCAGAAAAAGCATTTTTGCGACAGAGGCGTCTTGACGAAACGATCGCTCTATATTTTCTTGGAGTTATAAAATCGTGAGTAAGCAGTTCATATAATGCAGTTCACACTGCATCCGATTTTCATCGTACGAAGCTCTGCAACCAATCAGAAAACAGGATTCCGATAATACGAAGCAAAATTTATCGGAATCCTGTTTTCTGATTGG